CCATGGCATTAGAGCCCCAGCAGTCTAATAGCCTCCTTGTTTAATTAATATAACAGGCCGCTCAGTTCAAACGGAGCATTTTCTGTGGCTCTCATTTGCTTAGAACAACTTGGCAAAGGGCATAACTAACATCAAAGTAGGGAGAAGACCAAAGGTGAGACCTCGCTGGAGACTGCCTGCCACTTGCCAACTCCTAGTTGATACAGAGAAACGAGTACTGCAGAAGCACAGAAGTTGGGGACAGGCCGTGGCTTGTTTGCTGATGGTTTCTGGCAGCCTGAGTATAAAGAACAAAAAGACCTAATCCCTCCACATCAACATATCTGCGTCAGGCTGGTCATTTAATCCCCAAGAGGAGCAGTCGTTTTGAATGTGGTTAACTGAAGTGAACTAACTCTCCTTCCCCCACAGGCCTCGGGGATGCTCTTGGGGCCCATTTGAGGTCACTGACTGTTAGTTCAGAAATTAAGGTGTCAGCAGGCCTCTGAAGCCTTAAGGGAACAATCTGTTCCACCCTCTCTCCTACTTTCCAGCTGCTGCCAGCAATCCTTGGTGTTCCTTGCCTTGTAGCTGCCTCACATGGCTGTCTTCCCTCTGTCTCTCTCTTTGTGTCTCTTTTCTTATAAGGACACTGGTCAGACTGGATTTAGGGACCACCCTACTCCAGTATTACGTCATCTTAACTAATTACATCCGCAAAGATCCTATTTCCAAAGAAGGTCACATTCTATGATTCTGGGAAAGATAAATTTGGGTGGACACTATCCAATCCAGTACACTGACCCTTGAGAGGCTCTCAGGAGTAGTGGCTCAAAGAGGGGCCTGAGTTCAAGCACTAATCGTACTGACTGTGGACAGAAAGGGCCTGGCCTGGCCCTGAGGACCCGTGGCACCAAAGGCCAACCAGACTTCTGCTGGCTCCTAGGTGGCCCATGCATTGCACTGACACCAACAGGTGCCACCTAACCTTGGACACTGCCCTGGACCAGAGGCTTGAAAATGTTACCAGTAGGGGACCTGGTCCTGAGTGAGTCTGCCTAGGGCCAGCTGGTAGTGTGTGGGTTCTTGACTTCGGGCAGGAAAAATTTCACATCACGAGTCCAGGTGAGTTTTAGAGGACGTTTATTAAAGCTGGGGATGTGAAACAAGAAACGGCTGGGGAAATGAGCCTAGGCTGGTCTGCTTTTGCTCATTGAGAAGTTAGAGAAAAGGGGGCCTTGGGGACAGATTCAGGGTTTTTTTCTGGGATGAACTGCCACTGCCCATTGCTGCCCTGGTTGCAAGCCTCATGAGGTCCTTTAGAGTTCAGGAGATGCAGGCCTATGGGGAAAGAAGCGGGGGGAGGGGGGGGCAGAGGGGAATAGAGAGTGGG